CGTAAAGTTTATAAGTCTTTTTATTGGTGCCTGGCTTCGATTTTTAGGGCTAGGGTGGCATCTTTTGAAGATTAGAAATGAGCTTTTTTAAAGAGTAAATGTTGATTAGCTTTACAAGCCTCTTAAATTCAATTTCTGACAGTACATCGTATACACTGGTTCTTCAGAGTGTAATGAAAATAGGGAAGTATTTGGAGCCATAATATTATCCTTCACACATTCTTGCCCTTTCAAAGATGTGTGAAGACAACCCCAGAGAGAATACACGTGTTGACTAAAGCCCTTTGTTCAGTAACGCCACTCACCTCGTTTTTCCCCCCCGACCAGGAACCGTAGTGCTCCGTCTCCTCCACGATTTCATCACAGGCCTTCTGTGAGAAGACTGGGAACCAGAAGACATCTGGGCAAGGCTGCGACACACACACACACACACACACACACACACACACACACACACACACACACACACACACACACACACACACACACACACACACACACACACACACACACACACAATGAGACCACTGAGAGCTGCAGACTTGATTCACACCTTCACCTTGAGCTCGGCGGGCTGTAATTTAATCCCTGAATGTTAAAAACAGATGTCGGCGACATTATGTCATTCTTTCACTTTCTCTCAGTCTAACACAGATGCAAACGAATGAAAACAAACCTCCTCCATGACGTTCTCAGTGAAAATTCGAGAGTAGTTCGAGTGGATGTACTTCTCCTTCCAGTCCTGCAACGAGAACACTTTTTAGTTTGGACTTCTTTTGCTGACCTACATACCTCCGAGAGCTAATCCCCTCTCCCACAGGGCAGGACCCAGCGTGATAAAAACAGTAGTGAGTCACAGAGCCTTATCAGTCAGGAGTCTTATCACGCTGAAGTCATTACCTCACTATCGTCACACATCTCTAATCCTTCCATTATGGATAATAACCTTTACAGGTGGCGGCTGTTTACCTCAGCCATTCTGAACAATAATAGGTTTCTTTGTGTAACGAGAATAATGCGAGATCATAATGACTTACCGTGGGGTTTTCAAATATCTGCCACAAGTCATTGTTATAATGAGAAGTGTTATAATTGGCTGTGGAAATGAGCCTCCCAAAGTCGTGACGGTTTGTTATGTACATGAAGAGTCCCTGCAGCAGACGGGGGGGAAAAGTTCAGTCAGTTTCACACAAAGTTAAAATCTCTTTAATGTCTCACAGGCAGGATTTCTAACAGATACATGCACATCAACGCTCTGCAGGTAATAGCCGTATTATGCTAACTCATCAATGCTAAGCACTGGCATTAAAACTGACAAACCGTTACTCGTGGCAAACTACTCTAAAGCTTCATTTGCCCAAACATTAAGTATGATTTAAGTGTATTTTAACACACTGAAATCAAGTGGGTTGAACTTGGATAGAACCAAAAGAGGTAGATAAATAATCTAGGATTATTTATGGGTTTGGGTGGGAGGGGAACAGGACAGGGTCGGGCAGTGGGGTGAGACAGGGGAGAAGCTTGGGATGAAGCAAATCCAGGAATAATATTCCCTCTACAGTGAAGCACGCTGTGTTCGGGGGGGTTTAGACTCTATCAGACTAGGCTTTGAAGAGAATAGTACTTTTGTTTTCTTAGTGCATGTTTCCAATTTATGTACAAATTAAGCTGTGATTGGGGCCAGATGGTTCACACGAGTGAAAGGAAATGTGGTTTGAGCCTAGTCTGAGATCAGTCGGTGTGTTCAGGGAGCAGCTGGTTACATATGTTTCCTGTTGGTTTGGGGTAAAGCATCAGGACAGGGGACTCCAACCTTCTCTCTACTCCATCTACTCTTGGATGCCATTGAAAACACAGGATATAAACCAGGTTTTTAAACCTTTTTTAGCTTGGACAAATATCAGATTTTAGACCTAGACTAAAGCATATGTCAACATCAATTTCCAAGGAGCTGCTAGGCACCCTGTTTTCGTATGTAAGCATAAGCAGCAACCACATATTGCATTTGATATGTAACTGCCAAATCTGAAGTAATGCTAGTTTTCCTTCCAATGGAGAATACAGAAATTAAATTGTTCTACTGAATACCTACACTTTTACAGAATTGCCTGTAGACAGGGCCAATATATTCTCATTCGGTCACATTGCTTTTGCAAGAGTCTGCCTGAAATGAGCCACTGCTTGGAGTGGCTCTTAGTTGCTAACCCATTGGAAATGTATGTTTCAGAAAGCAGAATAATCAAAAACAAATGGAGAACCTTTGGGGGCCTGAGCATATGGAATGATTCCGGAGAAGGGGAGTCTTTTTCTCTGTGACTGGTCTAAAATAAAGGAGAAGCATTGGGTAAATAACAAAAATATCGTTGCAGAATAAGAGACAGGGTGACTCATGAAATATTTCACGTACATGCGCCTGACAAAAGAGCAAGGTTCCCTCTGAAGCTGATGTTTTGGTGGGTTAACATGGGAAACAGGCATGCTGGGAAAAAGACCAAGCGATCCAGATGTACACCAAGTTTGGATCAGACATGGTGGTTGTTTATAGCAGATGACATGTGAGTGATACGAAAACCCAGCTGGAGGATCAGTTTATAAGGGAAAAGAGACAAGACAATCTTTTTTAAGCATGGCTGTGTGTGGACACGAGCAAGAGAAAGTGAAGGATTCTGGGATAGAAGTGGAGAAGAGAACATGAATGCACCATAGAGCAACTGTAAACAGAGGTGGTTCATGCCTTGACTTTAGACAAAGACATTTCAAACCACTCATACTTGCCAGACTTGGGTTTCCGTTGAAGCGTTGACTTTGTCAGGGTAGCAATGCATCGTCTAGTATAAATACACCTCACAGTAGCTTTGCCTTTCATGCAGACATGTTCTTATAAACGCTACACCACTATAATATCTGATTCCGCAAATCCCTGAAGATGGAGGTTGAGTTTTCTTACCATTTCTCTGGAATTTCTACAAAGAGCCATATCTGGGTCTAGTTTCCCCAGCACAAAGTAGTTCCTCTCCTTCAGTTCATTCCTCAAGGTGCTGCCTTTGACGAGGTATACATGGGCCATGAAAGGAATGTTCCACAAACCCCTAGAAACACCAAGACAGAGAGAAGATGTGTTACATTGCTGTTCAAAGTGGCATTTGTTGTGCTTTTTGCTGAATCCCGAAGCTATTCATGACTGCAGGTGTATTAGAGGACTTGTTAGAGGACTATTTGGTAAAGTAAGGCAGGATATCAAGTGTTTTGAAATACCTTTTTAATCTTGTATCTGTTCGGTTAACATGAGCTGACTATTTGGGGGAAGTTTGGTTCGCCCTCAGTTAGAGATGTCCCGATCCGATCGCGCGATCGGGGATCGGAACCGATCACGTGATTTTCAAAAGATCGGAATCGGGAGAAAAAAATCGGGGATTGGGATTTAAAAATCTTTTTTTATTTTTTTTTAAATACTTTATTTTATTTTTTTAATTCAATGTTACAAAACAAAAATGACCATGTTCAAGTCTTGAAGTCATCCTGAGGCCTTAGTTTTGGTTTCAAATTACACAACATCATGTATGTGTTGCTTCTTTGGGGCTTGTTTTCATAGACCTGCTTATTTCTTTCTCTCAAATCTGGCAGAGTGGGCGCAGTGTCTAATTGTAGCAGTAAGCTAACGAGTACTGATTTATTTTGTTTTGATCCAATGCTGCACAACTGAACTGATCCAATGCTGCTGTGAAAGAAAGAAGCTATATCCATGTTGGATAGAATATCCAATTTAAATAAAAAAATAACCTTAAGGGACAACTTAAATGCTTTTTTTCCTCTTGATGCATTGCATAAAGATCGGATCGGGAAAAATCGGTATCGGCAAATTGTCAAAATCAAATGATCGGAATCGGATCGGGAGCAAAAAAAGGTGATCGGGACATCCCTACTAATCATAATTCAGATAGAACAAAGCACAAGATAAGGAATTGTGTGACTAACCCAATGCAAGGTTTATTAGAAAAATAACCATTAGTATTTGATTTAGGCATTGTTCCCAAGAGATAAAGCAAAAAACGATATATATGTTAACACTTTTCTCGTTGTTAATATTGACTATATTTATATGTGTTGACTTTACTTTAAAATAGCAGATCTCTGTGACCGGATATAGTTCGGCTTAGTGAACGTGTGTCTCTTCCTTGGAGGAGCAGCATCGGCCGGACTCCACTGCTCCTCCGTGCAGAGAGTCTGCAGCGGTGCGTGTCAGCGACGTGCAGTCTG